AGGGGGGGGGGGGGGGGTCACATGCCGTGCGGACGTGTCCCTGTCGACCCGTCCTGCCAGCTCCGCTCTTGCTGTGGCCCGGTAGCTGGTGGCGGCGCACCAGCCAGTGCCCAAGTCCGCAGCCAACCTGGCCATCCGCCTGCAGGCCTTGCGCATCACTCTGATTCAGGTGGATTTGCAGGCAGCCATTGAATTTGCAGGCAGGTGGAGCGAGGCAGGCAGATGGCGCCACCTGCTTGGCCTGCACAACCCGGCACCACCAAACCCCTCACCAACCCCTGCCTCGCAATGCTTGCAGAGCGCTCTGGTGCTGGCCCCGCGCTACCCAGAGCACCCAGTGTTTGCGTGGCTCATGCAGAAGCCACGCTTCAAGGCGTTGCTGAACGAGTTCTCGCTGAAGCAAATGAAGGGGGTGCGCTCTGGTCAGATTGTGCATTGCCCTGCATTGTGGGTGCGTGGAGACAAGACCACCCAGGCGTGCAAACAACCTGCTTGCCCATCCTGCATGCTTGCCCATCCTGCATGCCTGCCCATCCTCATGCAGGTGTACGCGGCGCAGCGCACGCCCAGCCAGGACGACAAGCTTGACAGAATCTCCAAGGGGCTGGGAGCGCAGACTCGCGCCATGCTAGCCAGCCTGACCGGCGGCCAGCTCCCCGCTGAGGTGGGGAAGAGCCTGCAAGCCACCGCAACAGTGTTGTGCGAGGACCGGCTGCCCGATGATGAGGTGATGCGGCAGCGCGCTGCCCGGCTCGGCGCGTGGCAGGCTGCAGCGCGCCGCGGCATAGCAGCGGCGCAACGCGGCGACGCCTGGGCGGATGTCCAGCAACTGGACCGGGAGGAGCAGACGGCTAGCGAGGTGGACCTGGACCAGCTTGCCCTGGTTGCCCTCAGCATGGAGGGTGAGATGTGGCGCTGCCGCTAGCGCTGCGGGCGGGTGCATCCCTCCCACGGTCAGCCTGCCCTCCTCAGTTCCATCCCCGGCCCCCCCTTCTTTGCCTCCTCCATGCTGCAGAGGCCCAGCGGCAGGAGCAGCAGGAGGCCGCCGGCACAGCAGCAGGATGCACGCCCGCACCGGCGGCAGGGGCGGCAGCGGTCATGCCCACGCCAGCAGCGGCGGCAGGCATGACGCCGGTGGCGGCAGCAGCGGCTGTGCTCATGCCCACGCCAGCAGCGGCGGCAGGCATGACGCCGGTGGCGGCAGCAGCGCCTGTGCTCATGCCCC